GAGGAGTTCCCAGCCCTTGCTCTCCTCCGACACACCGAGGTGAAGGCCCCACCTGGCCTTCGGCTTCAGCTTCCCACCGCGCTGCTGCTCGGGGACCAGGAACTGCGCCATGCAGCCCCACACGCGTGCCAGCGACAAGTCGGGCTTCTTCCCGGTGAGCAGCTGATGCGGTGTCGTCCCCGGCGGCAGCGACGACCGCTCAAGGCAGTTGCGGACCCAGACGGCCTGCCGCAGAGCAAGGTGCCACCAGTGGTTCTGCTCGCCCATGTGCAGCAGCATCGTGTGCAGCAACTCCACCACTGTCCTCATCTCCCGATCTGCCATGACGTTCTGCTGCAGGGTGTACGTGCAGGTCAAGTCGTGCACAATGCCCTTCGCGTCCACGAAGGAGGTGAACTATTTCCGGAGGAGCTCCCCTCCCCACCACCAGCAGCAAGAAGTACAGACCGCAGCATCAGCACCAAATTCTTTGTCTGCCGCTCAACCACCACCAGCCACTTCTCGAACCCCTGAAGCACATCGGACTTCTTGGCGACCGGCCGCACCGAGACGAAGCGAGTCTTGCGGTCCTTCAGCAGTAAGAAGTACAGGCTCCCGTCCTTGGCAGCCACCCGAAACAGCCCACACAGGTCGATGTGCACGATAGCAAGGGCGTCCTCGGCGTCCGAGCCTTTGTCGGGGAAGGTGTGCCGCACCAGCTTCCCACTGACACACGAGATGCAAGGCGAATTGGCGCCGGACGCCGATTTGAGGTCCAACCCAGTGGCAACCCCGTGCTTCGCCGAGCTCCGTATGGTGTCCATGCCGACGTGAGCGAGCCTCTCGTGCAGCCTGTCCGACATCGACTTCGTCGCCGAGACGATCGCCCGCAGAGCCACCACCTCTGCCGCGGTCGTCATCGTCTTCGCCGAGCAGGGGCGAAGGTCGGTGCAGAGGACTCGGCCGGTGTACGTCGCCCGACCAAGCGTGTTCCCCGCCGCCAAGATAAGCAGCATCCCGTCGCCATCGTCCAGCAGCTTCACGCGCTCTCCTTCAGTTGGCCGGCCGAAAGCAGGTTCTCTTGTACGCACGGGACATAGAGAACGTCGGGGATGAGCACCTACTTCCCGGTGTCCCCTTGCAGAGCAACGGTGCCATGGCCGCGAACGTCCTGCAGCGCCCCATTGAAGCCACGTACGTGCTTCACGTCGCCGCTCGGCTCCAAGTCGACGAAGGCCTCCTTTGTCCCCATCAGGTGGTGCGAGCAGCCACATTCGAGCAGGACCACCGCCGGGTTCGCCTGCACGGCTGCCGCCACCGCCTGGAAATCCTCGCCGGCCTCCGGCGCCAGCGAGACGGTCAGCTCCACGACGCCGACCAGCGAGCACGACGCCTCCTTGTTGACTCGCCCCTTGCCGCCTGTGGAGGAGTCGGCGTCCTTCGCCGAGGTCGACTTGTCCGACTGCTTCTCCTTACGTTGCTTAATTTCCCGGCGTTGACGACGGCTGGCTGGCCTCCTGCGGTTTTTTTTGGCGTCGTCGTTGTCGCAGTCACTGCGGTCGGGGCACTCGAAGGAGAGATGGTCGGGGTCGCCGCACAGCCAGCATTCCCGGTGTCGCCCTCCTTCATGACCGCTGTCCTTGGCCGGCTTCCCACCTTCGCTACCGCCGTCGCCAGGCTTGCCGCGCTACCCCAGTCGACCATCTTGCTTCGCCGGAGCGACATAGTTTGCCTGTGGCAGGAGCTCCGTGGACTTCTCGGCCTCCTGCATCGCCTCGTCCCGGAGGATGTACGAGGTAAACGAGTCCTCGTTGAGCGACTTCCGCGTGCCCGGCACCACCATCATCCGCTTCATCAGGTTGTAGTTGTTCGGGAGCCCCTTGATGATGTGCGTGATGTATGACGCCGTCGAGTATTCGACGCCGGCCATCCGCATGCAGGCAAGGAGACGCCGAGCTCGGTTGCAGTAGTCGGTCGCCGTCTCCTGCTCGCCCATCCGCAGGTGCGTCATCTGCTCCTCCAGCTGGCCGATGTATAGGTCGTCGGTGACCTGATACGTCGCCGTGATGAACCGCCACGCCTGATGCCCGGCTTCCAGGTGGCGCCGGCACGACTTCAACGGTATCTGAACCACCGGCGAGTAGCACCGCGAGATGACCGTGAAGGTCAACAGCTGCACGGCGCGAAACTCCGCGCGCAGCTCGGCGTTGCTCTCCGTCGATGTCTCCACATCAGCCCGGCCATCTCAAGTTGGGGCTCGATGGACTCCTTCCACGTGAGAAGGTAGTGTCGACCGACCAACGGCGCCGTGACGGAGACCTTGTCTGACCGAAACTTGAAGTACCCGTAGGTCAGTGCAATCCCTTCTGCAGTCACGTGTGTCGCCGACTCCGGCGTCACTCTGCCTCGACGTCCACCAACGTTGCCTTGCGAGGAGCCCGCAACCGCCGACGACTGCAGCCCTCGCTCCTGAATGTCGGCGACTTCACCGTCGGCCGTCCGGAACACCCCTCTCTGCCTCGACGTGCCTCCCGCACTGCTGCCGACTTGGTCACCGGCGTTGACACTTACGTCGACGCTGCCCTCATTGTTCACCGGTCGAGGAGAGGCAGGTAGAGAAGGGTGCTCTGCTGCACATACGGCGCGGATGCCTGCCTCGACGACCGCCAAGGGGAGCGTCTCCCCGTACTCGCCATCAGCGTGGCGTCTTCTCGCATCAGCCAGCCGTGTCTCCAGGGCATCCACTATGTCTGCGTCACCTACAGCGCCTACCATGGTGACCAACACAGCTGCTGGCCTAGGAACGAAATAGGTAAGTGCAAAAGTCGGCTTCATCGAACATATCGTTGCGGTGCCGTCCACACTAACTGCACCATGCGGAGATAACTACTACAACGGGAGCTAGACTACAGGCTAGACACGGGGTGGGAGTGATTGTAGCGTTCGTTCACTCAATCGTTTCCTTGTGTTCACGCTGCTTGCTAGTTCACGGGGAGAATTTCCAAGAGTTTCACTAGAAAAAAACATGACAACAAAAAAAAAATGGTTGCAACAACATTGGCAATACAAACTACATCAGAGCTAGCTAGGCTGCTGGTCGACCTCCAGCGCAGCATGGTCGACCGCGATCCAGCGCAGCAGAGCTCGCACTGCTCCAGCGTTGCAAAGTAGCAGTTCGCCAACGTTGCAAGTCCACGGTGTGCCAACGCTGCAGCAAGTCGGCTGCACAGCGCTGCACCCGCAGGACAACGGTGCACCTGCTTCGCAGGTGCGTGCGGCTGGTTGGTGCAACACTCCTCGTCACTTGCACAGAGCAGATGCCCAGACCGAGTCCACGCCAGCGACTGCGCCCACCAGCCACGTCGACCTTGGGATACCACCTCCGAGGTAGCCCTCGCAGAAACCACCCTGGCGACCTTCGCACACGTTGTCCGGGTATCGCAGTCGACCGGGCAACCCCGCCTGGTCGTCCAGCCCAGTCGGTCGCCGGCTGCACCAAACCGGCGTCCCCAGAGTCTGCATCCTGGCGTCCAGGTCGGCGTCCACAAGCCCAGGACGCCAACCAGGCGCCCAGGTCGGCGTCCAGGCGCCCAGGACGCCGAGCAGACGCCCAGGTCGGCGTCCAGCCTCCCAGGACGCCGTGCCGACGCCCAGGTCGGCATCCAGGCTCCTAGGACGTCGTCCAGGCGTTCAGGACGCCACCCAAATGCAAAGGACGCCACCCAAATGCTAAGGACAGCATCCTCCTGCTCGGCGCCCTTGCAGTGGCCACCATACCCACTGCTGCAGGTCGGCTGCATCCCCCCGTACACCCGACCACGAAGTCGGCTCCACCCAAGCGAGGACGGGGCCAAACACAACTCCCGTTGACACTTGTTACTGGAAATGCTAAGCATTCTTCCACACTGTGAGCATGAATGATCCTAACAGTATTTGAGAGCTTTTGAGTCAATGTACTTATAACTTAACTTCTTCATAGAAAATTGTTTTTAGAGTCGTGACATAAACCAATGGAAGTAGTCTTGTCAGCTCATTATGCGAACGCACAAGAATTCAAGGGTGGTAAGTGTGAGCACAGCACTTGGGAAGGGCCCTTGCATGTTGTTCTGCCGAATGCCCCTGACAAGTAAGAAAAAGAAGATTGACACTTCAACCAAAGCAACAGGTTGTGAATGCAAGCACAATATTCTCCCTGCAAGCAAGACCATGTGTGAAAACATGTTGGTGGGAAAATGAACACGAGAGTAGGCATCCACTGCGTCCATACTCAGGACGCTTGGCTGATGATTTTTTTGCACCTCGGAAAAAAAAAAAAAAACAACCCGACAAATTAGCGATCCACGAATTTGTCTCGACTGTAAGTTTGATGGGGATCTGGTTCGATTCTGCCAAAGCGTTCTCTTTCTACCGCATTTCACCCCTCTCTTTCTAGCAAAGCCAACCTACCCACACAAACGGAAGCAAATGCCGACTACGTCTGGCAGATTTTTCAGCCAGAGTTAGTCAACGATTTTAGTTCCCTAGCTGCCTTACGCACGACCCAATCGTATATCCAGCATGGTTTGGATGGGTGTGAATACGCACAAGGTAATTGCATAGGGAGAACGAATGTTCGATGTGGACAATTTCTTTGGACTGCGGTCCCTTCTCCCGCTTCCCCCCTCTCTACCATTTCTTTACCCTGCCCAAGAGATGTGTTTTGCCTGGCCGACCCAAGCGTATATCCAGAGTCCAGAGCTGGACATTTGATCTGAGAATCCAATGTAAACACGCTAGCATATTGGTTGCTGGACGCGTCTATGTCCACTTGGGAGTAGAACAGGCTGGGATCAGCAAATGATGAGAGTGTTAGTATCTGCATCTTGGTCTCGTCTTGTTGCCAACATTCTTGTTGCCTACACATACCCAGTTTAGGCCCAAGTGTAAGACTTCAGTTATCAAATTTTGGAGTTCCCTTAAACATGGGTTTTCTATCAATTGTTTGCAATGGTCCAAGAGTTTCGGTGGGAGGGTCAACTTACAACACGCTGACTGAAGGCCACGACAGGTGGTTGGGAAATGCATCTGCAAATCGGTTTGAGTCTATAAATCTGCAAAAATAGGAGGGAGAAACAAAGTTCATAAGTCATCTGTGCAACATAGCAAGTGAGGCAAGCCATACTGGCTGAACCCACAACAAGATCGAAGTCATGATGCCCAAGGCATGATCCCATGGGATGCATTACATCATTGTGAGCCAGGTCATCTCGCTGATCACATCAAGGCCCGACGACAGCTGGTTGCTGCCAAGGTCCCTGAAACACAACAAGAGTTGCACACAATATACAGCGTATGGATTAAAAACGAGCAGGAAAAAATGGGATGCAATCGGAAGGTGTTGTTACACCCTCAAACCAGAACCGTTTGTCTCGCACCAAACAAATCTGTCTGGACCTTTGCCGCGGCGCCCATCGCTCCCTCGCTACCTTGCGTCCAGTCGGAGAACCTCATTCTTGCCAACGAGGGTGTAGGATACTGAATTCACCTGTGCCTGGCTCAAGTCGCACATCTCTCAATGTGCGCCTCAAGAGAGGGCCAGTTGCTTCAGATCAGATTGGTTCGTTGGACTCTCGCCCTAGATGTTTCCTCTAACCCTTCCTCGCGTCAACCCCCCTGATTCCCCAACAACTTGCCCTCAATTTTGAATAATGCAATCGCTACCCCTGAATCTACACTTGCGTCTACACCCGTGTACAAACTGTTACCACATATGCACGAAGTACATATTTGGTGACAGTCCTCGCATCCCAAAGCTTTCCTCACATTTCATGGCTCTAATCACACCCCATCCCATATCTCTTCCTACATCTCACCGGTCCAGTGAGCCGGCCTTTCCCTCCACACCCGATTCCACTAATGGGAGCGCATTTGTGTGAGCTTGCACCAATGTGTGCTGTGTCCTGTACTTGCGTGCTACAAAGACACCATCGATCATTAGTCTTTCGTGCTGCCACTGCATCCCTGCGAAGCCACTACCTGAGATGATAGCGAACTTGATACGCACAGCGAAGAAACATATTTGAGGTTTGTGAAAGACCGCGGAATGGCCCCGGTAAAGTTGTTGCCAGTGAGTTCCCTGAAAGCACCATACAATGAGGCAATGAGTACTTGAGAAATACAAACAGAAATCCCGATGGAATGCATGGAGGTGGACATGAAAGCAAAGGCGGACCACTGTTCGGTTCGACTGAAACATTTTCGAGTCGACCAAACAAGGAATCCCTTTTCCCCAAAAGTGTTTGACCCGAACATGTTGTGTTCACTAGACTAAAGCCGTTGAGCCACGTCAAACGCAGACTCGTTTGACTGTTTGAAAGTGGCCAGTTTGACACTGCACAGTTCGCCTGGTTGTGTGCATGTTGCAGTTATGATCCTGGGCCCAGTTTCTCCCCATAGTATTACCGATCTGGCCCTAGTTATTCCCCACCACCGAGCACCTGTTCCACCCAAACAATTGACAGTTGAACACATGTCGGAAAAAAATTGTTCGCCCCGAATCGAACAAGTTCCGCTGAAGTATGACATTCTAACACAACCGTTCTCGTCTTGTCTTGTGCACGCACAGGGTTATGAGGCCGGAGAGAGAGCCAAGGAACTCTGGAATGCGGCCGGAGAATTGATTTCCCGAAAGGTCACTGCAAGGGAAGGCAAGAGAGTTGGTGTTGGTCACTGTGTGGTTATGAAATTGCACACACCACGACAATCGCATGAGAAGAGAAAGAGTACTGAGAGGCAAGAGGGCTGTGGTGGCACGCACATGCTGCTGAGAGTGGTGGAGAAAACTGGCGGGATCGTGCCATCCATCTTGTTTGTCATCAAGCTCCTGAGGCACGTGCGGACGGATCACAACCACAAGACATACAGCTGGTGGATCCACCAAGGGCTACAGTGTCTACAAAGGGAACAAAAGTGTGTCAAGTGAGCGGTATAGCAAACGTTTTTTCTCTCCGACCAATGATCAAAGTACTGCTGTGCAAGCACCAACACAATCGAACTTGCACGTTCAGGGATTATTTCTTTCGAAGGTCCTCAAGTGCGTGTTATGGGAAGTTGTGGAGTTGTGGTTTGTGCGGAGTGGTACTTGTGGAAGTGTGTATTCCCAAAAACTCAGATGCAAACACGCACAGGTCAGTCAGGAGAATGTGTGAGATATGTTTCATAATAGCTTTTTACAGCGTGCACAGTGCAGTGAGGGCAGTGAAAGATGATGGAATGGAGCCTCGGATGTCGTTCCAGGCAAACGATCTGCATGCCAGTGACATGAACACGAGCCAAGACACAATATAATTTGCATGTTAAGCGAGGCAAACAGTTCACAAATCCAGGGAAACAGTCAAGAGTAGAACTCTTGGGAGTGTGTACCTCCAAGCTTACACAAACTACTACTACACCAAACTGGGATAGGGTTGAACTTGGGCTCAACCTAGTTCCGACCAGGTTGAACGTGGTTGGGGTCAAGTTGAACCTAGTCGGGTCGCTTCAAAATTTTGGATGATGATAAGCTGAGTTGACTTTTGAGTCGACTCAGAAGGCAACAGTTGACTTTTGAGTCGACTCAAAAGTCAAAAGTGAACTTTTGAGTTGACTCAAAAACTTTGGATGATGATAAGTTTCCATTGGAGAGGAAACTGACTGCTGGAACTCGATAAAAGGCTCCAGCAGCTGGCTGACGGTACTCCTTTGCTGGGACACTCGCGAAAATGTTGAGAGGGTCCCAACTGGTCTGGAGAAGGCATCCATCAGGCCGGTTCGGATTTTCCTCATCGGCCCCGAAAGCGAAACTTTCCTGCTTTCCGGGCCAAACCCGGACCGACCCACACCCGGCCAGCACTGGGAAATTTGAGACCCAGCCTGGGACAAAAACGAACCGGCCCGGTTGGTCCAGACCGAATTCGTCCAGGTGCTCATCCTTAAGCTAGGATATACAACATACAAATACATAAGTTTTATGTTTATTTTTAAAATGTCAACCATACAATAGAACCTTGGGCAACAGTCAAGAGCGGAACAAGAATACGTAGCAATGGTGCACATTCATTCATGCACGTATGTTATGTGAGATGAACGCAATTATCATTTTCTGCAGTACTGTTTGGTTGTGAAAAGCACAACAGAAAAACATGGACCAACAATTAAATAAAGAAGGGAAGACAAAAGAATAAATAAGGCCAGCAGGGAATTACTATTATGGTTGTGGCTGTGCATGCACGGCTCGACATGAAGAGGCCACTCACAAGTAGGTGAGGTGGTTGAGTGAGGCCCAGTACTCAGGAAGAGCTCCAACTAGATTGTTGCCTCGTGCATCACTGCCATACCATGCCATTGAGTGACAGTTGATACAGAGGACACTGCCATGGTCGTGGAAGGTGCCATGACATTCAAACCAAAACAAGCACACGAACTGCTCATGATGAGCGCTCGTGTCGACTGTGTTTGATTTCGACTCACATCGGGGAAAAACTAGAGCTGGTACAGATTGAACCTGTTGAATCTTTCTCATGTGGCGTGCGACTTGCGGTGCTCGAGTCATTTCCCTACTCCGGAGCATCAGAGCTTATTTTCACACTCCAACATCCTTGTCTTATTCTCTCTTTCCTTATCCCTTCTAGCCACTTACCACGGTGTGATTCTGCGTTCTCCATAACATTGCTCCCAACCATGGGTGATTTGTACTGTTTTTAGGTGTCGGGGTAACAAACGAATGTTGACCTTCGCAATCATTTACATACTTTACGGATGATCATGGTGCAGATTGGGCCAAAACAGCAGCAATACCATTACTCTCGTTGAAATCAGAACTGCCGGATCTGCAGCCGGTTCGACACAAATTGGTTTAACTTCAATCCGACCACCTAAGCAGTTTAATGAGATTCCAGTTAGACGTGAGCATATAGTACTTACTGAATCTCGGTGTGGTTCAAGTCAACCCTTCACGAGTCATGCCAGTTTGAAGTATTTTTCATGTAAATATCGTGTGACGTTTGACTCGACCTGTTGCAGTTTCAGTCAAAGCATTTGGTTTCGTTTGAGTGATGTGATATTTCTGAGGCTAAAATTAAACCGAACCAATTCAATGCATATGCAGTTCATGTCAAACCTCAAGAGCTTTGACACAGAAGATTAAGTGGGGCAACGGTGGATTTAAGTTACATCCTATTTATTGTAGACTTTAGCTTACTTGTGTTGGTAGCTGGAGACCGAAAACACTTGGAGGACCAAATTTGGGGTTGTCGTTGGATTGACCATGAGCAGATTACCGAAAGCCTGTTCAAATTGAGTCAAAGTTGTTTGACTTTTCTTTTGTCTGAAAACGGTTCCACTCAAACATACTAAAGGTTCGGACCATTCATTTCATTTTGGCAGTTTGAGACTTTTTAAACGTTCGCTTCGAATCGAACATGTTGACTATCCAAAAGGTTCACATCGAACCTACAAAGGTTTCAAGACCTGCCCGGGCAACTCGGGTCTCGCAGATTAGATATCAGGATGACGGAGAAATTATATAGCTTGTTTCAAGCTCATTATCTCTCTCCCTATTCTCACCCCCCCTTCCCCTCTCCCCATCCCGAACACCTAGGAGCAAAATCTGTGTGCGTCTGTACTGAATAGCATTGTGTTCGTGGTGCTGTTGTGCTTTGTTGAATAGAATAGGGGGATACTATATTACTTCAAGTATGTTTTACAGCAATGTGGAGTTTCTTATTTCTTGGTGGGACATCAAGATCTATTACATTGGTGGAGGACATGGGAGCAACAGGTCAGCAACAAGGAGGGTGATCGAGCTGACTTGGAAGTCGAATTGGAGCAATAAGCACAAAAAGCGACGTTCACAGAACGAAGCTGACTTCCTGAGGATATTAAGTCTTTTGCCACCTATGGATGACGAGATATCCTTGACAACGGAGGCAGAAATATGGAGCGGGGAACCCACAAGTGCTCCAGGTGCGAGAGGCGGTGGAGCTCTTGAGGCACCACATCAGAGCGGTATGTAGCATCAATGTTGAAGCGAGCATTGTCACTGGCAGGGGGATGGAGAGGAGGACATGGTGGTGGAGGGGATAGAGCACATAGGGGGTTGGAGGGATGGAGCACGTGGGGATGGAGGTAGGCATTAGCAACGGGTCGACCCGTCCCGACACTAGGAGACCTGAGGCGGGGAACAGGTGCAGGTCGAATCGGCCAGAGCTTGGGTCAAGACGCGAGGAAGTCGACTGGATCAGGCATCCAGGGTTGGGTCGGGTCATCTGTGACCAGAGGGAAGGTTGGGTTAACGCGATGGCGAATCGGGTCGTCGGACCCGCCAACTTAAAGCTCGAGGCCCGAATTGCGGAGCGCTCGGGGCAAGCTTACTGATCTTGATGGAAGTGCTTTTTTGGGAAAAAGTGCTTACGAGAAGTGCATTGTGACTGTCGAATTGGAGAGCAGGAAGCATCAAGGATATTGTGTGTGCAATATGGGACTCTTGAACCAAACACAAGGTCAACCCTGGGGTTTGCTGAGTCAGCAAAAATCGTGAGGGTTGTCGTGAATCCTCTTTGGTAATCTCTCAGTCCCACCCTCCCATGAAGATCCACCTGATTTCTCCTTCTCTCCTTCCTTCCCTGTCCCCTGCACACCTGACCAGATTCATCCCTTCTTCCTCCTGGCGTATGTAATCACCCCGCCCTGCACTCCTCCTTGTGTCTCAGGTTTCCCAGCGACCACCTGTAGCCTAACCCGCGGATTGGTAAAGATTGCAGCTCACCCCTCTCTTTCTCCAACCTTGCCTTATTCCTCTGACATGCCTCGCAGTTCGCTACTAGTCCTGCCACGTCCTTTCCCATGCTCGCCCACCAGTACATGGTGCTCAGCAGCTGCTGCGTTCTCGTTATACCGTAGTGTCCCAGCTTCGCATGCACGTTCCCCATAATCCTACCACTCTCTTGCGCCTGCAGCACCACCTTCCAACCTTCATTGGTTCTCAGCTGCAGCTGCTCCTGAAACCACCAGTAATGCTGCCCTCGGGCCCTGGCTCTCTCGCTCACACCTTCCTCTTCTAGCGGCTCACCCTTGATCCAGCACATGGTCTCCTCGTCTTCCCATATATCCACCAGCCGCTCCTTTGCCTTCTCCTGCCCCCAGGCCCCTGCCGTGACTTGAGCCATGGCTGCCAGCTGCGCTACTGGCTGCATCGGTGGCGGATTCCTTGATAACCCGTCTGCATGCTGCAGCATTTTCCCCAGTCGATGCCAAATCTCAAAGTCAAAGCCTAGCAGCTTGATGGCCCAGCGTGCATTCCTCCCCGTCAGCTTCTGATTGGTCATCAACCACAGTAACGGCTGATGATCAGTCACCAGTGTGAAATGCCGGCCTTGCAGGTACACCTTGAAGTGAGTAATCCCCCATAATGCCGTCAGGCCCTCCCCTTCGTACGAGCAGTAGTTAGCCTCGGATGGGCTGCAGCAGCGGCTAGCAAAAGCTACCACCCTCTCTTCTCCTTCTATCTCCTGACAAAGCACTGCTCCCATTCCTGTGCTGCTCCAGTCGGTGTATAATATGAAAGGGGCGTCCGCCCTCGGTATCTGCAGCAGAGTTTCAGTCCTTACTGCTTCCAACAGGTCCTGCCTTGCCGCTTCTTCCAGCTCTCCCCATTGCCAGCTCCTCCCTTCCCGCAGTAGCTGATTCAGCACATAGGCATGGCGGCTGAAGTTCGATACGAACTTCTTGCAATAGTTCAGGAAGCCGAGTAATGCTCGCAGCCCGGCCTTGTCCTTAGGTGCTGCTAAGTTCTCCAGCACCTTAACCGTTGCTTCCTGTATCGCCAGCCGACCCCCTTCACTTCAAAGCCCAGGTAAGCCACGGTGTGCCTTGCTATCTTGCATTTGTCTGGGTGACACGTCAGCCCTGTAGCCGCTATCGCCTCGAGTGTCTGCTTTAGGTCTTGAACGTGCTGCTCCTCACTGCTGCTGAAAATCAGTACGTCATCTATGTAGCACGCAGCGGCCGAAATCCCCTTCAGCACCTGATCCATGGCTCGCTGAAACACTGCTGGAGCGTTACATAACCCGAAAGGCATCACGTTGTACTCGTATAACCCGACCACCCCTTGGAACGCTGTCTTCCGTTTGTCTTCTTCCCTGATAGCTATTTGGTTGAATCCCTGCCGCAGGTCTAGGGTAGTAAAGATAATGGCGCCTTCCAAGCGGTCGAAGATGTCTTCTGCAGTTGGCATGGGGTACCTGTCCGGGCTAGTGATCTTGTTCAGCTCCCGAAAATCTCCACACATCCTTTTGGATGATCCCTGCTGCTAGCAACTCTTCACACTTCTCCTTACAGATGGCTGCATCTTCTGCATTCATTCGCCTTCTTCGTTGGTAAGTAGGCAGCTCCGTGGTGAGGTTCAGCTCCAGCTCTCTTCCTTTGTACCTCCCCAGTTCCTGCAGGTTATAGGCAAAGGTACTCCTGTGCTGCTGTAGCACCTTCCTGATTGCTTCTGCCGTCAACTTCCCTATGCCAGCCCCTAGCTCCCACTACTTACCCTGCTCAGCTTCCTTGCCCCCTGATAGTGCGGTAACACTCTCCTTCCCTCCTGTGTCCTTGCCGCAGCGTACCTAGTACTCCCAGAACATACAGTTGACTCCTCATATCACTTATCACGTCCTTATCCAGCCCGTTGACGGACTTAGTCACCAAGAGGCGTTCTTCCATACACCCCATATCCTCTGCCAGTTCCAGCAGCCTATTGTAATAGGCAAGCAGCGACTCCGAAGTAGCTCTGATGAAGTTCTGAAACGCTGCCATCCGATCTGCCGAATGCCCCGGGAATTGCTCTTGCAGACTCTCCAAGAATCGGTCCGTGATCATCGCAGCTGGGAAGTCTCCTCTCTTGTTCTGCATCAGCAGCCCTTGCCACGAGGTAGTGCGTCAGAGCTTCTCCTTTAAGAGTCCTCCCCAAACCTCTAAAGAATTCGATGGGATCCAGTCCCTCCCTGTCCCAGCAGTAGCGAATGTCTTCTATCATCATGAGGTAGTTCTTTAGCGTAGGCTCTTCTCCTGGCATCCCCGAGAAGCAATCTGGTACCTTGATTTTTGGTGGAGCAATGCTCATCGATCTGCCAGTCCCCCAGCTCGTTGTCCCTCTTTCCCCGCTCCCAGCAAGCCAACCTCCTCTTCCAGCTTACATGGCTTCGTATCCTCCTGCTGAGAATCCATAATACGGTTCTCCTCCTATCTGGCTTTGTCGCTCTTCATGCTGATCATCCCCTCCTCGCTGACTCCGTCGCTCTTCATGGTGCTCGTCTCGTCTCTGACTTCGCCGATCTTCAAAATGCTCTTCCCCTCCCAGATCCGGAGGCCCACGTCGAGGTCCAGGCCCCACAGGGCGAATTCCGATCCCGCTTGCTGGTGAATCACAAGCGGGGCTCAGCGGCTGTTCTCTCTGTCCGCTACCTTCCTTCTCCCGATCCGATCCTTGATTGCCGCGTACATTATTATCTCCCTCCCCAGCACGAAATCCAGGCGTCCTGATCGGCGGATCACGTCCCTCCGTCATCCTCGCAGGGAATCGGTGACCCGAGCGCAGCTGATGAGTATGAAGCTCATGACCGAATTTACTCATTACTCACGGCGCATCACCGCGAGCTACTCCAGGCTGCCACGCCTGTCTCCTGTACTCTAGACAGTCGTAAACCTTTTTGCTTGTGTGGAACAAGTCTTAACTCCCTCGCAAGGGCTCAGTCAGATTGCTGTTAGCTTCTCCTACTGCTAGTTCCCTTCGGATTAGGAAAGCAAATTGCAGTAAACGAGAAACATACAATCAAAAAGCATCGAGTTTGAGCGCTACTCCCGTATACATCCCCTCCTGCCTAGGTGCCTTGTCCTCTACTCCTAAGCGCGAGTCAGCCGAGCTGATCGCGTAGGCTTCAAGGTGCTAGCTGGGTCCCACTGGGCCCACTAGTCCTTCCAGCCTGGTGCATGGCGAATTGAATTTCTAGGCTGGCTGGAATCGAACTCGCCACCATCCTCCCCACCAACCACCTCAAACTTCCCTGCAGCTCGACTCTGTATAGTACAGTACATTCCAAAACAAACAAAGTAAAATGCAAAAACTGCAAACTATAGTACACCCTCACCTTGACTGCTGTGGACTTCACACTTAGTTGCCAGCTAAGTGTTAATAACGCGACAGGGTGTCGCGCAAAGCTGGGCGAAACAAAACAGCCCAACTCCTACACCTCAACATTCTTACTCCAGGTTTCCTCTCTCGCTACCCGAAGGACAACCTTAGTAAGGTTGAACCAATTGAGCTTTATCTTAGCATCTAGCGGATCAGCGAACTCTGCATATTGGCAATTTTGACTCGATTTGAGGTGGTTGGGTTGGGAAAGCATGGTTGAATCAGCCATCAATCTCAACTTCAGACTTTTTATCTAGTTTATATCCTGGTATATTGTACTTTTTGTGGGTTGGGTGTTATACCAACAACTCAACCTTACCCAAACACGATCAACCGAAATCTCCAACCCACAAATTAAATATTTCAGCCAATCCCACTGGGGATTGCTCCTAATTCCCTTCCTGTCTTTTCTTGTCCATTACTGATGTACTTAAGAGGCTTGAGCCCAAGTTCTTACATGCCATCAGAGGGAAGCAACATCACACATGGATCATTATCCACGTCATCTTACAGAAACTATAACTGCACTCCCTAAAGTAGCCTCTCGACTTCCATCATGTGATGTGGCGCTGATTCAATCTAGTGCCACATCCTCGCTGGCTGTACTTTTTCCCATGCCATTCTTCTAGTCCTCAATTTCTGACAGCCTTGCCATTCCAAAAAATTAGTACCCAAAATCATCGTCGGCGCAATTTTTAGGAGAGACATTTGCATTGTGACTAGACATGAGCAACGCGGTTGGCCCAACCCTTTTTGCTCCACCCACCAAGGCAGGCAGGTACTGTCGAATCGGGTCGGGTCGGGTCGGGGGACTGCAGGGCCTCGCATATCGCCACCCAATCTCTTTCCTTTGCCTCGTGAGG